TGCACACTGCAAAGTGCACCAGCCCATAAACCGGACAGGAAACTACAGATGTCTGATAACCATTAACAGGCAGACGGTCCGATTTTGATCGTCACGCCAAACACCCGCGATTACCCCCCTGCAATCGGCACTGCCCGATCAGACGGCAGCGGAGGACATTGGTGCCTGAACCGCCCGATTTGATTAGCGTGAGCTCCGGCTCTTTTAGTCCGTCTTTTCGAACATACCAAGTAAATGAAAACAGAATTGAAGATCAAACTATCAGCAAACGATACATACCTGTACCTACATTTGTGATTATGGATGCACACTGGCAAATTTGGATATAAAGAAGCCATGAACTCAAAATAATCGTCCTTGGACATTAGGCTCGTCCAAAAATGACCTCAAGTTATTACCCATACTCCCGTATACTACCCATTACTCCCGTATAACTAACTTTTTGGCGCTAAAGCCACATAAACCTGGCAACGCGCATACCATATCTTCAAACATTCGCAATAGTTTTCGGGTTGTTTTAAAAAGCATTTTTTTTGTTAACCCTCGCCGGACCTATTGGTTTTCTACATACGCGCCGGCCGAGGGGGGGGGGGCGGGTACGACCCCCCCCCTCGCCGTTTCGCCCCTGGTGGAGCTAGCGCGTCGCGGAAAAAACGAGCGTGTGCGCCGTTACGAGACGCAGAGATTGGTACCCGATTTTAAGGTCCTAGGTCAACCGGTGACCTCTGAGGTCAGGTCAAGTGCCCCAGGGTACGGTTCAGTTTTTGGTGAATAACTTCGCAAAAAACGGCCGCAGAGCCGCGATTTTGGCAGCATCGTGTTCGCCTCGCTCAGGCGCGTCGAATGATATACTTTTTGTCTGGGTCAGGTCAACTTGGGGTGTTGACCTCAGGTCAAGGTCAGGTCAGCACCCCCAGGTCACGAAGTTGGTCAAAAGAGGTCATGTCGCATATCATTCGATTCGGCAGGTCTTCCTGAGTCCATTGGTGGCTTTCCCGACTCGCTAGCTCAATTTGATCAAGAGTTATGGACGAAAAACTAATATGACCTTGATGACGTCATAAATGACGTCACGCAAGGTCAACATTGCAAAAGTGACGCATCTAACCTTGCAAGGAGTGCATCAAATCACGATTCTGTGTGCTTGAGATAGTTGGAGATCGTTCCCGGCGCCAGAATAGCAGTTTGAATTTTTCCCCATTGACTTATAATGGTGAGGTCACGAAAATGACCTGACCTCATATGACCTTTAGGAAAAATCCGAGATATACAAATTGTGAGACTCATAATGGATACTAGATCCTGCAAGTTTCATTTCCCTGTGACATCTCCTCTGGCAGTGAGGGCGTTGCGAAGTTGCGACATCTGAAGACCGTGCAGAGGTTCACTTATGACGTCATAGGTCAGTGACCTGACCTGACCCAAAAATGCGGTTGGTGTCAAAAGATGCGGCTTGGATCAAAGGTCAGGTATGCCAAGTTTCAGCTCTCTATCGCCAGCGTGTTCGGAGCTATCGCGAAAAAAACCCTATGGGGGGGCGGCACCCGCCCCCCCCCCTCGGCCGGCGAGGGTTAAATGGCATACCTACACCAGTTACGCTCACAGTACGTAATCCAAAATGAGGCTCTATAAAATGCTGCTCATAGTCCAACATGCAAATTGATTTTTGTTCATCCTATACCTGAAACATCGCCAGCTATTACGATATTTTATGGAAAGTAAATGCAGTTGTGGCAGCGAAGCTCGACTCTTCTCGATAAAAGACCTGACTGCCCATCATCTGAGTAAATACGTCCCCAGACCGTGCAGACCAAGTTCCATTCTTCCTACCGCCGGTCCAAAAGATAGATCTCAGTCAAAGTTATAGGTGAATCAACAGATAATATATAACTTTAACTATTGTTAATTACACTCCAGCATTGAAAGGCGTGTTTATTCCATTGTGGTTGCTTACGTTGAACCTTATGATATGCGGAGTGGACTGACGATCCTTGTTTTCCAAATGCGCAGATTGCATGCTTCATTTCGTTATTCCCAGTAGGCACACACTTATGTCGCGGAGGCGCGGAAGGAGAGAGAGACTGAGCGGGCCGAGACTTGTATTGTAACTGTGGTTCTGATTCTGATTCGCCAGTGCCTGTGCGTTATATACAAAGTGGTTGCACAATCAAGGACCGGTCCGCCGACCCGCCGGGTCGGTGGACGGTGCCGACACGTGGGGAAAGTGACGGCTATTTCTATGTAACAAAGCTTGCACGTGTACTCTCTTTATCATGATATGGAAGAAGGGAATCGGTCCCACATTATCTTCCCTCCCCCAGGGAAGCGTAGGGAACCGAAGCGATCATAACAAAGAGAGGAAACGTTTAGCTGACGGAGAAAGAAATTTCCATATGAGCGTATCACAAAATGGTATGAACAGATAAGTAAGTTTCGTGACAATTACACCTACTACCGGGCGATCCCTCCGCACTCTTGGCGGGGACCGTCCCTGGGCATCTCCATGGCCCTCGGCATCTCTGGCCGAATATCAATACAATATAATTTCAGTGAATTGACAACGATTAACGTATTTGAATGTTCATACCGTTCAGAGTATGCTCTTTCTACGTTTACTAGTGTCAAAATGACACGGCAAAGTGCAGGCAAAATTTAAATGCACTTGCAATTTCTCCGTAAATTTTGGGGTGAGCAACCACAATGAAGCGCAACAAACGACAAAACACTGACGAAAACGGATAATGAAACAGTATGGTTTTGAAACACAATGAAGTTAAAACAAATTTCACAGCACAATTTCACTGTCACTTTTTGACGAAAATACAGCAAAAGTTCATGATGGGTGAATTTTCTTGATTTCGGTGCCAATTTGTCTTGAATTTAGCGTTGAAGTTTTTGTTTTATCTTCTCTCCTTCGAGCTTGAGTCCTTCAGCGAGGTGGTGTCCATCACTCGATGATGCTGAGGAGGACGGCGCGGGCTGATGAGCCGTGCGCTGTCGGCGGGCTCCGTAGCGAGTCCAGGGCAGCTGATGACGTTACCGCAGGGCAGATGGTATTGCCGGGCAGAGCTACTCACTGGAGACGGTGATGTCGGACGATGACGAGTCCAGGATGGTCAGCTCCCTAGTCGATGACGTGACGTAGGGGCGATACACCGTCACGGAGCACGGACTAACCAGTCTGCGATGTCAGTGCAGATGTAGAGGCTGGGGTCCGTGGTGAGGGGCACAAGTCCCCTCGACCGCCGCTGCCACCATTGTGTCGGCCGGTGGAATCGCCGACTTACTGGAGGTTCGGTGTGCCGATGCGTCCCCAAAGCCGGTCTCGAGCACTCTGTGTATTTGATAATTCACGCACGCTTTTATACAGGATCTTTCACGCACAGCGCGATCATATAAGGAGCGTCATGCGGCAAGCGCATAAGCTTATTCGAGGAACGACGCGGAAACCTCTGCAGAACCGGTCAGTCGTTGAATTAATAACCCGGATCTGCAGCGGGCCGCACGCACCTGAACAAGGCCATACGCGCTTGTAGCAATAGTCCTTTGAGCAAAGCCTTGCGACATTAGAGAGGAGAGCATTTTGGCGGGAACGGATGGCCCGGCAAAGGCTCATGAGATTGGAGGGCTGACGGTTGGGCGCGATGTGACCGTTGAACGGTTTTAAGGGAGCTTAACTGAGCAATACGTTTCGAGGGCTGCTCCGTTGTTCACTACTTCTAACAACACAACGGATCAATCAGCTAAAGAATGCAGGAAAAGGTTTTTCCCGTCTCTTGGAATCTTGATGGATGTGTAAAAGCAGCCAGCATACGAATGCAGATAGCGTAGCAATCGTAGCACTCGGGATCGAATCCTAGAGCACATGAGGGAAGCGTGCCAGCTGTCTAGAAAAGAGTGGGACCACCTAACATAGAAAAGAGCGGGAGTAGCATGTAGCTGGACTTCCCAGAAGTTTAACACATTTCTTAGAGGTTACCGCGATTGCGATGACGATGGACTTTAGCAGTGGTAGGCTTTATCGCTAGATGCAGCTGACCCATACACAAAACACAGAATAACAGAGGAAGGCAGGGGAGGGCTGACCGCGCCCCAACCGTCGCCGCTGGACTGGGGCTGCAAAAACGGACCGATTCACTGACAAAAACGGCGGGTTTTCGGAGGGGTGTCCACCTGGAGAGGGGTTCATCGGACCGCGCTGGGAGGCGGGCACGGTCCGAACGAGCCACCGGGAACCGACGGATAACGCCGGAAAACACGGCGGCCAGGCTCAGAGAGCTGTGACAGTAGGGCGCAGGTTATGTTCTAGAGCGAGCCATAGCACGTGAAACTGCCGTATAAACGGGCACTTATTGGAGCAACGTCACCCTCTGGATAGTTAAATTAGTTAATATATTCAAATGTAACACATTTTTTTTTTGCAGAAATTGTAACCTTTTACTCCTTTATTTTACGGTCATATTTCATAAGATATTCGGTGAGGTTGATAGTTTTCTACCGCTTGTTTATCATATCTAGAACTGATCATACAGCATCGCTTCATCGTCAGCGGTTTCCTTTTTAACTAGAATAACGGTAAAACATTCTTAATTAGTAAATTCAATGACATGGCAAATCAATGCTCCCTTATCATCTGCACACCGAACGATGTTTTTTTTTTACGAAAACGTAACTTTTAAGCATGTACCTACGGTTTCATATAAGACATTCTCGCGTCCATATTTTTGCAGTCACGTTTGGCCAACTTTAAGTAAAGTTTAGGCATCCATCGATAGGTATGTCAATGAGGACAAAAAAAAAGTAGGATTGTTCAGTCGATCAACGGTGACGCTCGTTGCCATGGCGAAGTTTTTACATGCCTACTTTTTGTCTAAACATTCGCGGTAAGCCATCCGGATTGTTACATAATGCCGACGGGATGACCTAGTTGCAATGAGTGACATGTGCTTTTAGATAGGTAAGTGTGGGACCGATTCCCTTCTTCCATATAACTACTTCGGAGTGCCCCAGTAAATATTCACATACGCTTCAATGACATGTCCCTTGCCATATCCCATTACAAAATTTGTCCTCGTATTGAATCGATTGATTCAGTCACTGGGTGTCATTCATGTCCAGTGGCTGCCAAAATTATCATACGAGCCAAATCCATCTGCTCTCCAGGTACGGTATCCGTATCCTTCAATAATATCCCACTTTCATCCCGTGCAGTGGCCTTATTCACTGACAGCTCCCTCGTGACAATTCAGTTCGTTACGTCGGTCCCCTGTCACGAGGAAAGACTGTGTCTTTACTATAACGAAATTAAAAGCTGTGAACCCGTCTCTTTCTGTTTAGATACCCCGACTCTTTCCCTCACCCAGCGCAATGAGACGGTCGCCCAGTCCACAGCCGTTATTCACTCTAGTGGTCTCTTTGATTCTTTTCTTTCGACCACTTCTTCATTGGGAACTACACTACAGCAGGGTCTCTACTGGTTCTTCGCTATTATCGCCGCTATCTTCATCTTTTCGATGGTAATCAATCTATGCCGTCGATAGCCCCTATACATACATCTTGGCTATATCATTTCTTCGGCTGCTCGTCAAGACCTTCATTTTCGGTTGTATCACCATGTACTTACGGCTAATGTCATGGCGGTCTGGCGGCAACTATCTTGATGTGTTGCCCCACATGTTTCATATGCATACCTACTTGCATCCACTTCAGCCAGATCGCCATAAAAAAATCATGTATAGTTTTTAAGAATTGTATATGTCTGTTCGTTTGTCTCGTGTACGTATGTGCCATTGACGAAAGATTTTGTATGTTGCAGACAGCCGATCATACTCGCATCGCCTGTTGCTGCATGCCGACTCACTCCTCATGGGCCACAATGGACTGTCAAATACACACGGCTGACCGATCTTCACGTCTCCGCTGCCTGGCCAAGGGCCCGGCCGGCAGCCGGGACGTCGAGTACCCGCCGAGTCAACCACACCGCCACTGGTACCTGACTCCATGGCGATTATCCGGCGTCGCATTCACGGGACCACATTACCCGAGTGCGGTCAAAATCGCCCTACAAGTACAATCGCCACACAACCATGGTCCGGTACCAGTGCATCGACTCGAGACGTCCCCGTCGACTTCTGCTCGCGCACCATCCAGAGGTCCCCTCCACCAACGGCCGTCGCTGTCGACTCCAGCCAGTTGCCACCACAATCACTGGCCGCCAGCAGTCGACAGTACCGCCCGCTCCAGCCGGCCGCGCCTTCTGTCACTGTCCACTGACGGTGATCTCATCAGCGCGGCTCTGTCATGGGTCGGGACCTCGGACATCAAGATCCGGAGGACCTACACATCTCCGCGCTGCGAGCAAGTCACCCACCAGCTCGGGACGTCTACTTCTTCACTCGGTCGTGTGTTGTTCTGACGCCTCCTATTGTCGGCTCATGGGGGAGGGGAGGTAATGTCGCAAGGCTTTGCTCAAAGGACTATTGCTACAAGCGCGTATGGCCTTGTTCAGGTGCGTGCGGCCCGCTGCAGATCCGGGTTATTAATTCAACGACTGACCGGTTCTGCAGAGGTTTCCGCGTCGTTCCTCGAATAAGCTTATGCGCTTGCCGCATGACGCTCCTTATATGATCGCGCTGTGCGTGAAAGATCCTGTATAAAAGCGTGCGTGAATTATCAAATACACAGAGTGCTCGAGACCGGCTTTGGGGACGCATCGGCACACCGAACCAAGTAAGTCGGCAATTCCACCGGCCGACACTAACCCTTGCTTTGACGTAGACCCCTCCAACCTCCTTCCCAGCAGATGCTCCATGTGTGCCCTCTCCCCATTTGTTGTGTTCGTTCCGCCTTGTTCCCCCGCGCCCCGGCTCTCCGGCTACAGCGTCGACGGCGTTTTTGCGAAAACGTTTTAAATGCGGTTGGTATGCGTGCCTTGTTTTTGTTGACGTTGAGTTGAATGAGCCACAGCCTTCGCGCCACTGTCGCATCCGAGCCGAAACCGTCCCCGGAGCGCCGCGCCGGCCTCGTCGCAGCTGCGCCACCTCAAAAGTTCGCTCACGTCGTGCCGTGTGAGAAAAATATCCAACTGGTGAGTTTGATCACGAAAGGGTGAGAAAGGCGCCGTGTGATTCTGGGCAGAGTGCGTCTGTAGCATGGAGGAAGGCTAATTAAGACGCAGCTGTCGTATTTTATCGGATTTGAATGGTTAACTACAGCAGGGGGTTATGGCACGTTAGGAGCTGTTCGAATTGAACCAGTGCAGCCTAACAAAATCCATCGTGGGGAGACAGCGACATGATTTGGGATAGAGAATGGCCTGCATGATTTCATAAACCTCTATTTATGTGTTACCCTTTGGCTTCTTGTCGATTCCATTTGTTCAGTCCCATTGTTAGGCAAATGTCTATTTCTACTCGTGATGTATCGAGCTGAAAGCCTCGCCTGTTCTCCGGTTCGATGGTCTCGTGGCCCCTAAACCCCTCTAACCCCAACCATCCCGCCGATCTGCCCTCGCCGGGATCTGTCTGGTATGACCCGGGCCGGGCCGGTCCGCTCGAGGACCCAGATCTGGTCGCAGGTGCCCCGGAGCGGCGCGTCGGCCTCGGTCGGCACGCCGCCGCCAAAAACTCTCCCGGCTCCGAGCATCGATCCTCTGTTTTTGCCGCAGGAGGAAAAACCCGGCGGCCGTGGCAACAGCTGAGCGGAGCGGGACGGTCAGCGCCCCGGCGGCCGCGCCGCCGATCGCCACAGCGCGCCACGGTGCGCCACGGAACGCCGCATCGCACTACAGAACGCCACACTGCGCTACGGAACGCCAGCCGACGCCGCAAATTGCCGCACCGCGCCAGGAACGCCAGCCGACACCGTGCCACGAAACACCGTAGCATTGCCCAGCATCGCGGCAGAAGTCTATCTCGATATTAAATGATTCAGTTAGCTGTTAAAAATCATGACGAGGGCATAAAGATGATAGTTTTAGGTACTTAACTGGTTAGAGCTGTAGCTGTCTGTCACTTAGTCGTGAAGAGCTACATAATTGACTGTAGAACCAATTCAATGATTTGCCCTGTGTCACTTACGTCACAAAACCGTCTCCCCTTCCCTGAGACCCTTGAATGTGAGATTTAATACGTCACAGCTAAGGGACTCGGGACTGGGCGTCGGCTAGTCTACGGTGACGTCACTGCTCAGGTCAGGTCAGTGTCGGGTCAGATAGGCCGGGTAAGGGCACATAATTATTATGCTTTTAGGTGATTTGAATTGATGCTGATTCCCGCACACCCAAGAATTGTTGTAGAAATATAATAAGAGTTACGAAATGATGAAGGGAACCCAAACAATCTAAAAATGTTGTGAAAATTCAGCTTTTGACGTGATTCGCTTTTATCATTTAAGGATTTCCCTTCTTTTCAGCATAATCCGATAGAACGGCACTGAGTGAATAGTCCAAATCTGATCTTCCGTTTGATACAAATATCGCAATTGTTTGAGGTCAGACCACATAGGTACGTAATCGGTGTGTTACCTACCGGTGGCGAACGTTCATAATCTTACAAAACCGGTGGTGGGGACAGGGTCTTCACCATGCAAATCACATAGGTAGCTATTCAAGTTTCGTCCCGTTGTGGACCGTGTTCGGGTGATATGGAAAGTCGTCGTCAGTGGCAGTGCCAACCCCTTCATGAGGTGAGTCAGTGTACTCACTTATAATCCAGTGAAGCGCCACCTGCGACATTCGCCACCGTCAACAGGGAAATGACGGAGGTCGGTATAGATACGACACATCCTCAAGCTCATACTTATGACCCTTGCCACCTCACGATATAAATTCGATGCAGTTCGAAACTATATGAAGCCATTCGAAGCAAATGACCCAGAGTCTCTATTGAAACAGGGAGCTGTGCCAGCTGTGGGTGGATGACAATTGACATCAGCCGATCTCGAACAGGGATCCCACACCTCCCTGACCTCAGCGCCCCCTGTGAAGGAGCACTAGCACCACCTAGTGTTGAACATAACAAAGCACAGCAATGTTTGTGCATGCCTGAATAAATAAATAAAAAATGTCCCCTGGATGTGTGCATAGCACAATACCTACGTTTATTGCATTTTCCGATTTGTGGGTACGCTCTCATCTCTGTAGGTATTGAAACATTTTTATTTATTTCTATTTATTTATTTTGTTGGGTTAGGCCCTTTCGGTCTGACAAGATCATTTCAGAGCCGGAAGGATGATAGGAATTAGGAGGAGACATTGGTAATGGACAGGTCGACCAGCCCCCCAAGCTCTCGCTCTCCACCCGGCTACGGGGTGCGCTCCCTCGGGAGCAGCGGTGCCGCTCCAAGGGAGCAGCCTGCATGCGATGAAGGTGCCTGTCCACTTCCAGCCCGGAGTGGGGGCTGCGGCGTGGAGGAAAAGGATTTCAGTATCCTGATAATGGAAACGACGGAACGGAGGATTGAAACATTAATCTGACTAAGTTGTTTAAATACAGCTCTTTGCTCCTTGTTATGAGTAAAGGTGACCTCAGGCCTTTCGATGATGGACAATATTTTATTGTCACATTAGACCGCATAGAGAACATAAGGCGGGTCACCAAACTGCGTTCCGAATATTCCAGCGGCAGCCCCTGTCCCCGCCAATACCCTCTCCACAGCTGATATGTTTCACCTCCTCGCAGTGTCCTGTTGCTGGGCGGACGACGCGCTCCCCTGATTGGCTACGAGATCACACTCCAGGCCGAGTCGGTCAAGGTCACATGGGTCAACCGCCGCGGGGCATGTAGCGCAGAACGGCTGTCAGTCGGTGGCGGAGGGGGAGGGGGAGTGGTGCGGGGACTGTCACAGTGCTGTGATGTATGAGATAACCATAGAGATAACGATGTAACTGTGATGTGGGAGTGTACGGTGTTGAGGTGTTTCGGGAAGTGCATCGGCGGTGAGCAGTGAGAGTTGGAGATTGGAGCGCAGGGCCATGGAACACGACGTTGGTTTTGCAGGTAGGTCAAGGTAGGCTTTATCATTATCAAGCCTGCTTTTTATCAGCATTGCTTTTGTAGTTGATGTTTTATGACTTTCTTCTTCCTGACTGCAGTTGTGAGTTGCTCTTCCTACCCAATACCTATGATGTTTTTTTGCGTAGTTTTTGGCCATCGCTGCATTAGACAGATGGAAGTATTTGAATTCTTAGGAATCCAATTGCGTATATTTTGGGCTTTGGCCGAGAAAAGGAGCATGTCGACGTTGGAGCAGAAACAACGAGCATGTCAACGTTGGAGCAGAATAGGTACCTACTGCGAGGATTGTCGACTAGTCGCTCTGAACGGAACATTGCGTGTTGACCGTTTCAGACATCAATCTGAGTAAGCAGTAAAAAGTATGTTGACAAGTTGTCCTAGCTGATGCTATAGAGTGAAGCCACATAAACCGTGCCTCCTGATGTTGAGCCTCCTGCCTCCTGAAGAGTCGCTTCGTGACGGTCATCTGACCAGGACGCCATCTGTGATCACTGGAACTTCAGACTGTGCTGCCACCTGACGGCTAGTGTATGCTTCTTCTGCCAGGTGGCGCTGTGTGTATCCGATCCACAGTCGGTGGCTCGGCATCGAGCGAAGACTCGTCAAGGCACTGTCAATGGTGGACGGAAAGTTTACCCTTCCTGTGCAGGTAAGCCGACCTGTTGTTGTTGTTGTTGTTGTTGTTGTTGTTTCCCTCCGGTCACTGGTAGTCCCAGCGACGTAGCTATTGGCTCTGGAGGGCCCTGAACGCGGTCACCAGGGCCGCCACGGCACCACTGTGCCGGACCTCCTCGGGTCGTGGTAGTATATTGCCGATTGCCGGAGTCTCTGGACTCCGGTCGGTGAAGTCGACCTCGGGGGTGCCGATCGGTGAGATGTGAGAGACAAGTAGGCTCTCGCTTATTCATTTCCCGGCGATTCATTTCCTTGAGGCTGAAACCAGGTCCAGGTTTGAGATGTGTTCATCAGCAATCACGATTAGATAAACTGTACACTGGCGGCTACGTAGCTCCGGATCGACTGAAAGGGAGACACGAAAACGCTCCCTGGGGAGTATTGGGGCCTTACGATTGGACTATACAGCTCAGAAGCGAAACACAATAACTCAATAACTGACATAGCTCGGCAGATTAGAGGAGCCGTCAGAAGTCGGGACTCGGGACCCAGCCTCACCCATGACCCACCAGCACCGGGCATGTTTCACTCCGGTCCGCCGTCTCCCGCCGTCTTGGCATGGCTCCCCTCCCAGCACCAGTAAAACCTGTCAGAGGGGCCGCGTCGATGGCGGAGTTAGTGCTGGTCGGACCACCGCGGCCGGCCGGTCGGCACAGGGCTGCAAACAGCGCAGCAACATGCCGCTATGACGTCCCAGTGGTCGGAGCAGCTCCCGAGACAGGGCGCGTCCAGCACCGCTGGAGGAGTACGGTGGGGTACCTGACAACGGAGCACAGCAGCGATTTATATTATCATACAATATTAAAATATTAGTTATTACATATACACATCTACACATGTGTATGTGTCCTAATCTCTTTTAATGACATAAATTATTGTTATATTCATTTAGGTATTTTCTTACGTTTGTTTATGGATCTTCATAATAGGATTCTAGGGAGCAAATGGTATGACCACTGCAGTTCCAACTGTTTGACATAGCAATCGAGTCTCTTTGCAAGGATAAGTTCTCTTTATCTATGCGATCTCTTTTAGACCCAAACAG